TAAAAAATCATTTGGTATTCATTGTAACAACGTTAATCATAATGTATTCATTTGGCATTCATGTGGCTGTCACATGTAAGAGTTCAATTATAATGCACACTAGCTAATGAGCATATAAAGTGTTACTGAATCAACATTACTGTGCAACATTTTCTTATTTGAATTATTCATATGCTTCAGGTTTAAAAATCTATCACCAACAAGCTGTTAAAAAGCAGCCATGTATTATAAAAGACACGTTTTGGAAGTCTTGTTTTTGAAATCTGTTCAACTGTCTGTCTAAGCAAATGCCCATGTAGCCTCCATCACTGTAGTATATGAGTACCTGGAGAGTTGCCCATGGTTTTCACACATGCCTAAAACCATACTGTTTAAATGTGGTCCTATTATTTTCAACATAGATAGTACAGCACAACATATGAGTCCAGATGGAGCAAGGCAATTAACTTCCCATCATTTCAGTGGGAACTTCTAAACACTTTTGAGGAGCAGAGCTCCGGTCTTCAGGGGAGGGAGTGTCTCCTTGTGATCGTAGCATCATAAAGAGACTATCACAAAGGCAAAGCAACCACAGCTGGTAAGGACCTTGTCATATTGTGAAGCATACTGCTAACTTCCACCTTTAAGCAACAATAACAAAAAAAACAAACCAAACCAAAACAAACAAACAAACAAAAAAGTAGAGAAATCTAAGTTTTTCTAAATCCTGAGAGATAAATGAGAGGAAAAGTCTGAGATGAGATATCCCTCTGCAAAGATGTTATCTTTGAAAACACCTGTCTTCCTATCTAGCTTAAGCCTGGGTTGTATTGCAACATCTCCCATCACCACAGAGAGGAAAAGAAAAAAAAAAAAAAAAAAAAAAAACAGCCCAAGAAATGTTAATTAATTGAACTCTATAAACCACATGGTAAGTGGAGAAAGCAGGATCATTTTAAAAGTTTGAACAAATTTGTCAAGAAGACTCAAGGAGTGGTTTACCTGATTTTTGCATGAAGTGATCCTGACCTTCAGATCCCCACGCTCAGGAGCAATGCTTGTGTCCATGTGGTGCCAGGAGGCAGGTGCCATGTTGTAACAAACCAGAGCTCAAGTACCAAATTCAAAATGAAGGTGAGGTAGAGGCTTTAATATACAATATAAGTTATATGATACAATACGATACAATATAAGTTATACAATATAATACAATATAAGTACTATCTTCCTAGTTTGGAGAAAGACTAGGCCACACAGAAATCACTGCTATTTTGGAGATCTGAAAATACAAACCAAAGAAATAATGGAAAAATTAGAGAAAGAAAGAGAAAGAAAGAGAGGAAGAGAGGAAGAGAGAAAGAAAGAGCAAAAAATTAAGCACCTATGTGTTTTTCCACTATCTTTTAAAATATTACTGCATTCTAGTCACCTGTCTCTTTCCATGCACTGTATGCATTGCTTTATACAAGATCTCTAACTTATAATCTTTTACATTGTTTTCTTTTTTCAAGGTACATTCAATTACCCTCATTCTTTTCACTTGTATCCTACATACCTACTTCCTACAGTGTTCCTGTGTCATTTTTATGTCCTATAGTTTGAAAAGAAGAAAACTGAATTTACAGTCATCATTTTTTGAATGGTGGGGTTAAAAGGGAAGTAGCCTTAGTTTAGAAAATACTTCCTGCAACATGTAACTTTCCCGCTCTGTTATTAACAGTGAACCTTTAATGTTGATCACTAAAACTCCTTGTTTCAGAACCCCCGTAGAAGTTCTAAGAAGTCAACAAATTCTCTTTATGAAGCTTTTAAAAGCATATTGTACATATTTTTAAATGTTCTTAATACATCTGTCCTTTCCATTAAACTCTGCAGCACTAAGTTTTTTGAGTCAACAAAGCAAAGTTTTGCTCTAGGTGTTTAGACTGCCTAAACCAATACTTTAGATTTAAGTGTACATAAGCAACTACTTAAGTCATTAGATCGTTTTCTTGTTGTCTAAGCTGAAAACTGTTAAAACAACGTAAAATTAATAAAATCTTGTCATGACTGTAACCGTGATTTTGTAACTGTCTCAAAAGTAGTAAATTAAAGTAGATGCCAGAAACAAGACTTAACTTGTATCAGAGTTGCTTTTTGTCCACCACAGGTACCATGCTCCCAGCTGTGTTTGCTTAAGCTTTGAAACTTACTTGGGTCTAGTAACTAGCTAAATGACAATATGTCTTTTTTTGTTAGACTTTAGAGGAAGCATGATGAGAACAGGAAATCTTTCTCTGGCAGATATTGAAGCCTTGCCTTCTTGGAGGTAACAAATATTTATATGTAATTCAAGAGAATGAAAACACAGATGAAATAATAAGACTATAAAAAATATACAGTAGTAAGAAAGATACAGAAAGTTAGAGGGCTAAGACATCATGCTATCAAAATGAGAGTCCCATATCAAGTGAGAGTCAAAAATGCATCTATGATATCTCTTTTCAATCTCTTGTATATAAAGTGCACATATCGCAATTTTAAAATAAGAATTGAACATAAAAATTGCCAATGAGAGGCCATTTTGAATACATTTTAAATTTATTTGAAGCCATTTTTTTTAATCATTCAATCTCCCCTGCAAAATTATCAGCATGCAAGACCAGAGAAATGTCTGAATTCCTGCTGTATGGGGAGGAATTGAGCTAGAAAGAACTGGAGCTGCCAGAGCACCACTTCCTTTACTGGAGGATCTCTCACCAAAACCAAAAGCTGTCTGCATGAAATTTCGATCACTAATTAGGTATACCAGGTGAGTATTACCCATAATGTGCAACTATGTGGTAAACTTTAAATGAAAGAGTCCTTACCATGTCAACTAAATTTGTTCCCTTTTTCTAAATGTATCACTTTCTTGGAGAACATTCATCCTTTCACATTAGCAATTCTCTTGCCAGGTTCTATCTGTTAATAGTCCATAATTCAACTCTGAGAAAATTGCTCAGCCTCACAAATTCTCTGCTCAGCATAAATGCATCTGATTTATTTTTTTTTTGTTTGTTTTTTGTTTTTCCCAAAAAATTAAAAAAGTGTTTTAATGAACTGAACAAGGATGCAATTATAACTGTTAGTGTTTTAAAATGTTTTCCTTTAATCACATAAATGCAAAAGTGCCCATATAAATGCTACTCCCAAGTCAGCATTCACACCTGTGATCTACGTGTCTATTCTATTACTTAAAGATTGCTATTTGCTCTCAATGCAATTCTATTTTTTATGATGTTATCAATTACTGCTTTTTGTTCCTTCAATGCTTTTAGTATAGGATAAATGACTCATTTGGTAAGAGTTAAATACAGGGAGGTAAAGCTGGGTCATATTTAATTCTGCTGGTTCATGCTAGAAAAGCATATGCAGCATATGATATAAGCTTCAGTGCAGCAGGGTTTTAGGCTTTATTGACAAGCCTGAAAACTTTCTCTCATAAATTCTTTGCACAGAATTTTGTAGTAATCAAGGAGTTTGAGCATCTTATGTATTTTTTAAAATGAAATATGCATATTACCAATTGAAAGTAACGAATGTTATGATTGGGAGAAATGTATCACTTACATGTACTTCAAGCCTTCAGACAAAACCCTTTCATTAAAGAAGATTAATTTCAGGCTAAATATAAAAGCAGCTGGAGTCTCTTTTAGTTATAATTCTCCATTTTGTGCTTTCTGATAGTAATACAAATTACATTCTTGAAGACAAAATACACTTAAACAGAATGGAAATGCACAGTGAAGTACACCTGAGATCACACCAATTCTATTTAGGGATGTTCACCTATAGAGGCAGGGCTTTAAAGTCCAAACTCAAAAACCTATATTATTTTATGGAGCCCAAGTTTACAAAGAGTCAAAGGGATAACATCTGGCCCACCTCTCATCTGACTCCCCAGTGGATCCAAGGCAGTGGATCCAAGGCAGGGTGACATGCCACCTCTCTTCTTAAAACAGCCCAGGCTAACAAAACTACTTCTCCTGAAATCACATAGTGCATGCAACCTTTCAAAGAAAAAAATGTCACTTCTGTGTTTGCCCATTGTTGATATCACTACGAGATCTCCCAGCAGGAGAGCCAGACGCTGAGCATGCATGCCTGTACCTAGGACCAGTCCATCCATCCAGCACATGAATGCAGTCTGAGGCCTTCACTGTGTGGCAGTACAAGATCAGCTTTTCTCCTTTTCCATATTGCTGGGCTCACCCAAAACTGGCAATTAATCTTTGGTCATTGTTCATTTAGCTTGGATTTTTGGAGATAATTTCATCTGCCAAGTATTGATTTCTACAATATAGACATGTACATTCAAACTAGTTGTCTGGATTCCCTTTACAGTCAATGGAAATAAGTAGGTTTCATTCATCTTTCACTGAATTAGGACATCTAAATCACTGCTGCCAAATCACCAAGCAACTCAGAGGACAGTGAGGCAAATAACATATTTTGTTTTCTAATAAACTCTGCTATGTACCTGTTCTCTGCATAAATTTCTTTTTCCTTGTAACATTATTCTTTGTTCACTAATACATTACCTCCTTATGTGCTTATTCTCTGTCCATAGTAGGAGTCTGTCAATAATGATGAGATTCTTTAGATGATATTAGTAAAGAATGAGGACTGCCAAATTCCACTGTCATTTTTATTAAATGATCGATGCCTTTTTAGAGATCCTATTCTTCATATATTCTTTACGTAATAGTGAGCAACAGGTTTCATACCTTTTCAGGCAATACAGCCTTCATTTGCATTTTATTCATTTAAGCTCTACTTGTCTGCAGGGAATATGCTACATTCATACAATACATTTCAAGAGTATATTGTTTCTGCATAGAGAATAAGGATAAACTACTAAAAAAAAAAAAAAAAAGACAGTTATACTTGGAGAACTTCCATTTAGCCTGTTCTTTGAGAGTCTGTTTGCATCCATAGGCTGGGCTCACAGTTCAAGACACCTGGTTTCTTATGTCAGCCCTGTAAGTTGTTTTTTTTTTATCTCCTATAAAATTTGGATAATTTTACTTCCTTCCTTCTTTAGGTGAGAACAATAAAGTTTTACTCACTATTAAATAATTTGAAATACACTTTATCAGTTAACTGAAAAAAATAATCTTAAAACTCCATGTCTGGTTCCATGGAGAGGGTGAAATTATACTTGAAAAGGCAGTAATATTGCAAAACTCAGAACATTTACAAGTTTTTTTTTACCTTACACAGATGAAAAAATGCCAGACAAATTCTGCCCTGCTGCCTTTGTCCTGAGGAGCATCAATCCAAATCACCAAGATTAATTGATGTAGAATAATTCTCTAGCCATGAAAATGTCCAAGACTGTCAGGAAGAAGCTCCAAACAGGTGAGCATTAGCTCACAACAAAACCAGGTGAACATATAGCAGTGTCTGTAATCCTAAGGGACATAATGCCCAAAGTCATTGTTTTCAACCCATTTATTCATGGCTCTCCATTATGAAATGAACTAAGCCAGACTGCATGATAGCAGTACAATACAGTGAAAGCACCATTCCACTCAGCTAAAACAGTCTTTTGTGCCATATAACATATAGAAAGGAAGTCCAGTTTTCATAGACTTTTGTATTGAAAGAAGCTACTTCCACTTTCATTCTGTAACTCTGCTGGAGTAACATGTGATGACCCATATAATTCTGCAAAATATCGCAGATGTCAGTGGTTAAAATTCAAGCAAATATTAATATTTAAAATGTAATCTACAAAATATCAATTTTAATTAGTACATTTGACATATTAAAAATCAATACTTAAGTAGTGAAAGATTCTGCTGTTTAGGCTGCACTCCACATGGATGATCATTTCTAAATTAAGAGATGCAAATTTAATCAATAGATTTAAAACTTTACATCACTTGAGGCACTTGAGTTGCTTCTAATCAGCCTAGTAAAGTGAAAGCATCATTTAATTGTTGTTTTTTTTTCACTCTCTTTGAAAGACAAACCTACCTTCAGGCTGGATTTTGCTCAGAATAAGCTATATTATCTTCAGCTTTTGTTACTCTTTCTAATTCTTAACAATTAAAAGTGTATTTAAAATGTCAAGAAAACAAACAATTTAAAATCCCAGAGGTTGTTTCATCATTTAAGAAACTTCAGCAAAATCAATACCTTAACTGCTTAAGTTTCCAAAACAAACTTGGCATGATATTGTTTGGCATTGTAATACTTGTAGCAAAACAGCAGTATTTTGTTGTGGGTTTGAAATCAGCCTTTACTGTGCTTGCTTTTCAGAATTATCAAAAAATTACTTATTTTCTAAGAAAGGTTGTATAAAATTCTTATGCCTTGGTAATTGCTACTATGAACCACAAATTTTTGCAAGTTAAAATTCCTTCTTTTTTTCCCCATTTTTAATTTTACAAAATAGTTGTTAACAATGTTGTCACGTATCTGTCAAAATATCCACAACCTACCTTGAAATACAGTTCGTACTCTTTTTTAGCCCTGAAAGAGCTTATCTTTTTAGAATGTTCATCAACAATTTGTCAAATTTGCTTCTGCATAAAGGTCAAGAAAGGCTGAAGAACTGTTTTTTACCTTTTTACATGAAAAGTCACACAGAACTATTCATGCACTTGTCAATTCCTTACATCTAGAATTAGTATGAATTTTTCCATAGAATATTATAGGATTCTATCTGCATGGTAATTATGTTTACAGTTCAAAGTACATTGAAAGCATTTCAAATAAATCTATCCTGAAGACTTTTAGGCTAAAACTTTTAATAGTTTTTAGTAGCATAAATAAATAATATTATAAATAAATAGTATTCATTTAGTAGTATAAATGGTATAAGTATAAAAAGTATAAGTAGGATAAATAAATAGTATTTATTGGGCCCACATTTACATTAAAATGGTCAATTATAATAGAGGGAAATATGATGATTTTATTCTTTTTTTATTTTTTCTTAAAGCTATCTGTGGATAGTGCAGCATGGAAAGCACCATACATTCAAATGGAGCAGGGTAACTGCTTTATAGAACTCAGTATGCCACTATCTAGCCATTTGGCATTTTTTAGTATTTATGTAACTGGTTGGTAATATTCTTAAATGTTTATTCATCCAGTTTCCTTGTAAGCCGCCAAAATTATATAAATAATTATAACCTAAAGTTACTAGTAGTATGTCTTCAGTAAAAGGTATGCTTCTGAGTCATAGGCAACAGGATATTTAGGCTTTTGCATTGATCTAAATTAGGTCAGTGACCTTTTCTTTCCACAGATTTCAAGGACAAAAATAACATGACACATTCTTAAAAAAACTGAGCATCACAACAAGATCTGTGTACTCTATGATACAGATGATACCTCCCCCACAGGGGTTTCCAGGGCAAAATAGTTTTGGACACTGGAGGGAAGCAGAGATGATATTTCATCTCTGAATTGGTCACAGGCTGTGCACTGCAGTTGCATGGTTTCAGCATTGCAAGCACTGTGGCTTTCTATGAGAGCTGAGCCAACAACAGACACAGACTTCTGACACTGAAATCTGCAGGAAGCAAATGGCATTAGTTACCCTGAATGTCCTCACAACACAGCAGTAGTGTATATAGAATTATTAATGTCTCTGTGTTAATATATGGTAAAGTATGAGATTGTTGTGAAGGTAATGTCTTTTCTATATTTGCATGCCTGATAAGGATTCTGACTGAGAAATGTAGTTATGACTTATTTTTTTCTTCGATACCAATACAATAAGGACAGCTAGGATTTGGGAGCCAAACACTGTATTTTTTCATGAACTGCTCTTTGCTACATAATGCTCTGCCCAGTTGAGTGCCTAAAAATCCCATAAGGCTATGGAAATCTTGGCTGAACCACTCCTAGGGTGTACTGGAAACTGGCAAATGCATTTCCCTAAACACAGATCTTGTGGATGCCAGATGCTAGGTGAAAACATCTATGCAAACACTTTTCAGCTTTATATTGCAAGAAACTGCATCCCCAAAGCCCCATTTAGTGAAGGTTGCTAGCATTACTAGAGATCTAACAAGCAGCAATTGAAGAAAAGACTGGGGGTGCAGCTAGGAAGCGTGCAACAGCTATTTTCATAAACAGCAAGGTCTGTCAGACCCTTTCTATACTACCAAATGGGAACTACTCCCTGTACCATCCTTAACATCCTTTGACAATAGTGACAAAAAAACTTTCCAACAGCTCTGTGTGAAAATCCACTCCTCCCTTTCTCTACTTACATGCATTACATAAAGTGCCTGCACATACAGGTCTTGCCATCCTCATTCACAGAGGCACACAGCAGGAGAAAATCCATACAAAACTGAAAAAGAAAGCACAGAAAGATCTGAATTTTCAATTTGATTCAATTACTTTCTGTCAAGATATTGTTCTTCACCTATGACAGTCAATTGCTCTTAGAAACCTTAAGCCACAGGCCAGCTGTTGCAATGTAGAGTATGACTTGTGGCATTGTTTTTTCCATATTGTCCAGAATGTTTCAGAGATTACTTTTAATTAATTGTTTTTAGGGTCTGAAATGGTCATCTGGCTTGCATGTTTTCTTTTCTTATCCATTTGACCAGAATGTTTTCCATTTGTTGTGCTTTTTTTTTTTGCTTTTTTTTTCTTTCTATTTTTCACAGGCATTCTGTAAGAACTGGGAAATATCCAAATTGTCATTTAATTCAAAAGGATCATCATTACTTCAAGACAGTTAATGTAATACTGCATAAAAATCTATACTCTTTTTTTGTTGTTGTAATTTCTGACTTGTATGCAACAGTTAAAATTAGGCAGAATCCAATATCTTATTTGTTAATAGAAAGATCACTCAATACTATCTCTAAAATCTTAACAACTGCATTCAGGAATCTATCTATTACTCCAAACTGGCAACCTATGTGCTCTTCACTGAATTTGTACAGACTAAAATGTCAATTATTTATTTATTTTACTAGATAATGTATGAGCAATCAGTTATCCTCTGACCTCAGATCCCCTGGGTCCTTCCCATCTGTCAGACTTCTCTGTAACTACACATGTTCATTCCCTATATCAGTCTAATGCACTAGACTTGTACACATCCTTTACAACCACAACACTGAAATAAAAACAAGAAAGGTGCCACATCCAAAAAAACTCACTCCATTTTTTCCTGTTCCTTTCTAAAAGTCCAGGGAGTCATTACCTTTGACTCTTCATTAAAGCTTCATATGTTTATATATATTTGTGAGAGCCTCAGTATAAGTGAAAACTTGAATTCTGTTTGCTAAAGTAAAGACATCTGTACAATGAGGCAGAACCTCAAAGTACATCTAAACATGGTCCCTAAGGGTTTGGGTTTGTTTTCCCCTCTCCTTAATTCACAGAGTAGGTAATTTTAATGAAATACTGAGTAATTGAACCTGTTTAAAAGGCTAAATGGTGAGTTTCTAGGAAATGTTTTTCTTGTGTATTTACACAGGATCATCTGAAGTATAAATACAGTCCCTGAGTAGTTAGCTCATATTGTAATTAATTTAATATAGTGGATTGGATTCACAGATGACATACATATTTTACACATGTAGACATATTTTACACTTACCATTGAAGTCAATGAAGCAAAGTCAATTTGCACCTGTTAAGGATATGACAATGTGTACCGAATATTTTGTTCACTGTTAACCTGGCTTTTACAGCTTCATTGGGTGAGGGTGCTTTTATTATGATAGTGGGCCTTCCCCTAAGAGGGATATATAAAATAGAAAAACGTTACCTTACAGACTTTTCCTCTTATTTTCAATATAGAAAAAGGACTGAAGAAGTTGATTGGTTGTTGACTTCTTTTATCCCTTTTCCAAAGCAAACCCTTAATTTTAATCCTTAAAGGCTTTTCTGATATTTTAAAAATTAGAAGAGAATGTGTGGGGAATTTAAAGTTACCTTGCTTTGTTATTTATTGTAAAAGAAAATAGTCTAGAAACTATTTATATTCGGTTGTAAGCCTATTTGCTTGAGGTGTTCTTGGAAAGGTGATGGCACAGATTTGGTGTGAATGATAGCACTGAGTATTTGTTCTTTCAGAATAACTTTTGTGTCTTTTCTGAATTTTACAAACCTAAAAAGACTTCACAGAGACCCTTACATTTTCCTGATGGGAAAGCAGGAAATATTTCTAGTGTGGAACTCAAGGGGAAAGAAAGCAAAAACAACTTGCAGCACTGATTACAAGATTCCTCTAAGATTTGTTCATTTTCTTTACAAGACTGGATTAAAAAAAAAAAAAAAAAAGTTACAAAAAGATCCTGAAAGTGTTATCTTTTTGATTTAGGAAAAAAAATAAACACAAGTAATAGCTTTATCTGACACAAGAAAGAGATGCAAACCAAATCAGTGGGAGTACTGTAATGAGTGGAAAATACCAAAAAAAAGTAGACCTGACATGGCTATATTAGGAAATCACAGATCTCCTTGCAGAGACCGTATTCTACTCAATACACACACTTTTTAAGTTTACCAATGGGAAATATATGCACCAGTACAAGACACACGCACCAGGTTCAGTATCCATTTTTCAACATGCCATTTAAAGCACAGATTGGTACATACCTACTGAGTTTTCACTCATTGCTCTAGGATGCAACTACATTTCCCTTGATATACTTGGATAATAAAACAGTTGGTGGTAATTATCTTAATGATTTCAGCATGAAGATTAGTAACCCTTGTAATTTTTATCCTTGCTAGTATAAATTAGTTTACAAGGGCTCAAAATACCTGTTAAACTGCCAAGGCAATGTTCACATTTTCAGTACTCAAATTAACCTTTTACTTTAGAACAGGAATACTTATGTATAAGAACTGAAACCTCTTTACTTTTTGAATAGGAGGCATTAGTAATTGAAAATTAGTGGGGAACAGACTGTGGATTTAATTCCCTTGTTCCAGGAGAGCAGAAGGAGTGAGAAAAAAAAACCTTACCCTTCAAAGTAGAAGTTCAGACACAAATGAACTGGGATTAAAATCAGATCCTTTGTTTTTGAAGAATTTTTATCCTTTAGAATTCTTATAATTACTGTATTCATACACTATGTGTATTTTACATATACATATACATATACATATACATATACATATACATACAATGCAATAATACTAACTGTACAACATGTAATGATTTAGTAATCCGATTCAATGAAGACCCTCAATTTAACACAGTTCAAAGGCACCCACTTAACTGGAAATGTGTGTTGCAGTCCCTCTATTCTGTGAGTCAGATAAATTCTGCTGCAACAATAGGCTAAGTAACCTTGTAACCACAAACACATTCTGCAGTGACACCAAGAGTCACTTATGTAGTCCTAACCTCTTTATATAAAATTCCATTAAAGATTTACTTTTGTATGTATGAGCATTGAAATACAATATATACACATTTACACAGACAAATATTGCAAGGCAGTCAGACACTGTTCAAAAAGGCTGGTAGATACATATTGTTCTATTAGTTCAATTTTCTATTTAACTTGTGTACTTTCCAACTACATAGAAAATAATTAGTCCAGGTCTAATTCATTCCAGTCTGAGTCTAGAAACTCATCTAAATAGGAAAGACAGATCCGTTCTATGATTTTTCCAGTAAAAATCAAAAATCAGAGCGTAGACTGGCTAAAGAGAAGACTCTAAACGGAGAGAAAAGTTTGGGTTAGCATTCAGATTTTCATCCATCAGATGTAAAACTCATAGCAGCCTGTCTTACAAATTTACTTTGCCCATCCTTGTGCCCAAGTAACACACTTGATTTGTCAGTAACTAAGTAACAGCTTGAAATACATTCTTCTTTTCTTGTTAAAGTGAATCATCCTTGTAATATCTCCAAGATGAGATTATCAATGCATAAATATAATGCATATGTCCGTTTTTATTGTTTTCAGTCATATCAGCATTCACTGACTATTTAAGGTCTAACAGTAATCACATATTAGTCTGCAAAATACTTTTCAGCAACCTTGTTTTAGTTCTTTTTCATTTTATGCTTTATCTATTTTTTAGGTATTTTTGATTTGTCTATAATGTATGATTTATTCACTATTCATGACATAAAAACAAAATGAGGGAAACTCTCTTCTTATTTCTTTTTATATTCTCAGCTGCTCTGTGCAGTTTTGACAACCATCTGCTTAGATTAGACTTTGCTTCTTTCTCCTGTTCATCCCCATCATAATAAAATATTGACAGAAACAATTTCTTCTGGGAAAATAGAAAGTTAATAGATAAGTGAAAGCCCTAGTTGTTTTTTCATTAAAGTTCTGATGTACTCTCACAACTTGTGTTGTATTTATTTATATGACCATTTGAAGCTGTGAAAAATTAAAAGGTAAAGCTCCAAACCAAACACTGGATTTCACAGTGGGATTCAGACTATACCTAATATTCACAAGTTAATGTAGAGCTTTTCTAAATAGCAAGTAGCATGCCAAATGAAAATCTCTGGGTGCAAAACTACATGTTTGTAAAACTACTACCCAGAGCAAGACCAGTCTTTTTAGCAGCAATTAAAGGGATCAAATGACACACCCAGGTTTACAGAAGTGAGAAAAAAATCACAAGGCAATTACATAACTTTGATGTTTCTTAAATCAGTATTGTTTTTCTCTGTTAGGTGTTTAATGACTTGGAAGGACGTGGAAAACTGCCGGATGTGACATGAGAAATGGCTGCATGCAATAAACAGGAGGGGTGGAGGGATTTTGTCAATGATTAAGGGGGAGCCAAGGTACAAAAAGCCAAATTTCACTGGCACTCAGAGGGGAGCTCTGTGGGGATCAAGTTTTGTGAGACCAACAGCACTGAGGTACCTGCATCAGGAACAAATGATGTTGCCATGATTACCTAGGCAGCAGTATAGGAAACACTCCATCAGCGTTGGCACAACTTCCCTGGCCCTGGGGTCCCCTACCAGCATGTGTTCTGGGCTGGACAACAGCTGCAACAACCCACTGCCTTGTAACCTTCTCCCTTTGATTTTCTCACTGATATGCCTCAGTACTCAACAAGAATACCAGCTAAAGAGACTTTGTAAATGTCTTCCACCATGCAGCCAAATCAAAATTCTCAGGGATCTGATTTGCCTAGGTCTTGCTGGGTAATTTCAGCAGCTGCATGCCTTGATCCAGCTTTTGATATTCTTACAATTTTGGCTGGAAAGACCTTTAACATTTTTGTAATTAGTATATCAACTCTTATTCAGTATTCTCTACTCAAACATCCCACATCATCCCATATCTACATCAGGACTGGAAACTCATGCACTGCTATTATCTTTTACCATGAGGCCGGTGTCTTTCCCAGTGGCATTTTAGCAGGACATCAT